ATGGCGATGTTGATGATGTCGATGTTGATGATGTTGATGATGTTGATGGTGATGTTGATGATGTTGATGGTGATGTTGATGATGTTGATGATGATGCCGATGGCGATGTTGATGGTGATGTTGATGATGTTGATGGTGATGTTGATGATGTTGATGGTGATGTTGATGATGTTGATGGTGATGTTGATGATGTCGATGGCGATGTTGATGTCGATGGCGATGTTGATGATGTTGATGGTGATGTTGATGTTGATGATGTCGATGTTGATGATGTTGATGGTGATGTTGATGATGTTGATGGTGATGTTGATGATGTTGATGGTGATGTTGATGATGTTGATGGTGATGTTGATGATGTTGATGGTGATGTTGATGATGTTGATGGTGATGTTGATGATGTCGATGGCGATGTTGATGTCGATGGCGATGTTGATGATGTTGATGGTGATGTTGATGTTGATGATGTCGATGTTGATGATGTTGATGGTGATGTTGATGATGTTGATGGTGATGTTGATGATGTTGATGGTGATGTTGATGATGTTGATGGTGATGTTGATGATGTCGATGGTGATGTTGATGATGTCGATGGTGATGTTGATGATGTCGATGGTGATGTTGATGATGTCGATGGTGATGTTGATGATGTTGATGGTGATGTTGATGATGTCGATGGTGATGTTGATGATGTCGATGGCGATGTTGATGATGTCGATGGTGATGTTGATGATGTCGATGGTGATGTTGATGATGTCGATGGTGATGTTGATGATGTCGATGGCGATGTTGATGATGCCGATGGTGATGTTGATGATGCCGATGGTGATGTTGATGATGTCGATGGTGATGTTGATGATGTTGATGGTGATGTTGATGATGTCGATGGTGATGTTGATGATGTCGATGGTGATGTTGATGATGTCGATGGTGATGTTGATGATGTCGATGGTGATGTTGATGATGTTGATGGTGATGTTGATGATGTCGATGGCGATGTTGATGATGTCGATGGCGATGTTGATGATGTTGATGGTGATGTTGATGATGTTGATGGTGATGTTGATGATGTCGATGGCGATGTTGATGATGTCGATGGCGATGTTGATGATGTTGATGGTGATGTTGATGATGTCGATGGCGATGTTGATGATGTCGATGGTGATGTTGATGATGTTGATGGTGATGTTGATGATGTTGATGGCGATGTTGATGATGTCGATGGTGATGTTGATGATGTTGATGGTGATGTTGATGATGTTGATGGTGATGTTGATGATGTTGATGGTGATGTTGATGATGTTGATGGTGATGTTGATGATGTTGATGGTGATGTTGATGATGTTGATGGTGATGTTGATGATGTTGATGGTGATGTTGATGATGTTGATGGTGATGTTGATGATGTTGATGGTGATGTTGATGATGTCGATGGCGATGTTGATGATGTTGATGGTGATGATGATGTTGATGGTGATGTTGATGATGTCGATGGTGATGTTGATGATGTTGATGGTGATGATGATGTTGATGGTGATGTTGATGATGTCGATGGTGATGTTGATGATGTCGATGGCGATGTTGATGATGTTGATGGTGATGTTGATGATGTTGATGGTGATGATGATGTTGATGGTGATGTTGATGATGTCGATGGTGATGTTGATGATGTCGATGGCGATGTTGATGATGTTGATGGTGATGTTGATGATGTCGATGGCGATGTTGATGATGTTGATGGCGATGTTGATGATGTTGATGGTGATGTTGATGATGTTGATGGCGATGTTGATGATGTTGATGGTGATGTTGATGATGTTGATGGTGATGTTGATGATGTCGATGGTGATGTTGATGATGTTGATGGTGATGTTGATGATGTTGATGGCGATGTTGATGATGTTGATGGTGATGTTGATGATGTTGATGGTGATGTTGATGATGTTGATGGTGATGTTGATGATGTTGATGGCGATGTTGATGATGTCGATGTTGATGATGTTGATGATGTTGATGGTGATGTTGATGATGTTGATGGTGATGTTGATGATGTTGATGATGATGCCGATGGCGATGTTGATGGTGATGTTGATGATGTTGATGGTGATGTTGATGATGTTGATGGTGATGTTGATGATGTTGATGGTGATGTTGATGATGTCGATGGCGATGTTGATGTCGATGGCGATGTTGATGATGTTGATGGTGATGTTGATGTTGATGATGTCGATGTTGATGATGTTGATGGTGATGTTGATGATGTTGATGGTGATGTTGATGATGTTGATGGTGATGTTGATGATGTTGATGGTGATGTTGATGATGTTGATGGTGATGTTGATGATGTTGATGGTGATGTTGATGATGTCGATGGCGATGTTGATGTCGATGGCGATGTTGATGATGTTGATGGTGATGTTGATGTTGATGGTGATGTTGATGATGTTGATGGTGATGTTGATGATGTTGATGGTGATGTTGATGATGTCGATGGCGATGTTGATGTTGATGGTGATGTTGATGATGTCGATGGTGATGTTGATGTTGATGATGTCGATGTTGATGATGCCGATGGTGATGTTGATGATGTTGATGGTGATGTTGATGATGTTGATGGTGATGTTGATGATGTCGATGGTGATGTTGATGATGTTGATGGTGATGTTGATGATGTTGATGGTGATGTTGATGATGTCGATGGCGATGTTGATGTCGATGGCGATGTTGATGATGTTGATGGTGATGTTGATGTTGATGATGTCGATGTTGATGATGTTGATGGTGATGTTGATGATGTTGATGGTGATGTTGATGATGTTGATGGTGATGTTGATGATGTTGATGGTGATGTTGATGATGTCGATGGTGATGTTGATGATGTCGATGGTGATGTTGATGATGCCGATGGTGATGTTGATGATGTCGATGGTGATGTTGATGATGTTGATGGTGATGTTGATGATGTCGATGGTGATGTTGATGATGTCGATGGCGATGTTGATGATGTCGATGGTGATGTTGATGATGTCGATGGTGATGTTGATGATGTCGATGGTGATGTTGATGATGTCGATGGCGATGTTGATGATGCCGATGGTGATGTTGATGATGCCGATGGTGATGTTGATGATGTCGATGGTGATGTTGATGATGTTGATGGTGATGTTGATGATGTCGATGGCGATGTTGATGATGTCGATGGTGATGTTGATGATGTCGATGGTGATGTTGATGATGTCGATGGTGATGTTGATGATGTTGATGGTGATGTTGATGATGTCGATGGCGATGTTGATGATGTCGATGGCGATGTTGATGATGTTGATGGTGATGTTGATGATGTTGATGGTGATGTTGATGATGTCGATGGCGATGTTGATGATGTCGATGGCGATGTTGATGATGTTGATGGTGATGTTGATGATGTCGATGGCGATGTTGATGATGTCGATGGTGATGTTGATGATGTCGATGGCGATGTTGATGATGTCGATGGCGATGTTGATGATGTCGATGGCGATGTTGATGATGTCGATGGCGATGTTGATGATGTCGATGGTGATGTTGATGATGTCGATGGTGATGTTGATGATGTTGATGGTGATGTTGATGATGTCGATGGTGATGTTGATGATGTTGATGGTGATGTTGATGATGTCGATGGCGATGTTGATGATGTCGATGGCGATGTTGATGATGTCGATGGTGATGTTGATGATGTCGATGGTGATGTTGATGATGTTGATGGTGATGTTGATGATGTCGATGGTGATGTTGATGATGTCGATGGTGATGTTGATGATGTTGATGGTGATGTTGATGATGTCGATGGTGATGTTGATGATGTTGATGGTGATGTTGATGATGTCGATGGTGATGTTGATGATGTCGATGGTGATGTTGATGATGTCGATGGTGATGTTGATGATGTTGATGGTGATGTTGATGATGTCGATGGTGATGTTGATGATGTTGATGGTGATGTTGATGATGTCGATGGTGATGTTGATGATGTTGATGGTGATGTTGATGATGTCGATGGTGATGTTGATGATGTTGATGGTGATGTTGATGATGTCGATGGTGATGTTGATGATGTTGATGGTGATGTTGATGATGTTGATGGTGATGTTGATGATGTCGATGGTGATGTTGATGATGTTGATGGTGATGTTGATGATGTTGATGGTGATGTTGATGATGTCGATGGCGATGTTGATGATGTCGATGGTGATGTTGATGATGTCGATGGTGATGTTGATGATGTTGATGGTGATGTTGATGATGTTGATGGTGATGTTGATGATGTCGATGGTGATGTTGATGATGTTGATGGCGATGTTGATGATGTTGATGGTGATGTTGATGATGTCGATGTTGATGTTGATGATGTCGATGGCGATGTTGATGATGTCGATGTTGATGTTGATGATGTCGATGGCGATGTTGATGATGTCGATGGCGATGTTGATGATGTCGATGGCGATGTTGATGATGTCGATGGCGATGTTGATGATGTCGATGGCGATGTTGATGATGTCGATGGTGATGTTGATGATGTCGATGGTGATGTTGATGATGTCGATGGCGATGTTGATGATGTCGATGGTGATGTTGATGATGTCGATGGCGATGTTGATGATGTCGATGGTGATGTTGATGTTGATGATGTCGATGTTGATGATGTCGATGGTGATGTTGATGATGTTGATGGTGATGTTGATGATGTCGATGGCGATGTTGATGATGTCGATGGTGATGTTGATGATGTTGATGGTGATGTTGATGATGTCGATGGTGATGTTGATGATGTTGATGGTGATGTTGATGATGTCGATGGCGATGTTGATGATGTCGATGGTGATGTTGATGATGTTGATGGTGATGTTGATGATGTTGATGGTGATGTTGATGATGTTGATGGTGATGTTGATGATGTTGATGGTGATGTTGATGATGTTGATGGCTGTGGTGATGATGTCGACAGCTGTGTTGATGATGTCGACGGCTGTGGTGATGATGTCGATGGCGATGATATCGATGGCGATGATGGCGATGGCCGTGCGTGTGTCCGGTGAGTGCAGATGGCCCGTGCGGAGACCGTGTGCCAGTTCTGTGGGGTGAGCTACCTCGTTCTGAACGAGGTGAAGCGGTTGGAGGAGCGGCAGAGAGAGATGAGAGCGGAGATAGATGACCTGACGACACGGTGGGCTAACTCACCTCCCCGCTCGCTCAATCATTGAGTTACTCACTCACCCACTCAACCATCCAGTCACTTACTCACCCGCTCACTCATCCACCTACTCACTCACCCACTCAATCATCCAGTCACTTACTCACCCGCTCACTCATCCACCTACTCACTCACCCACTCAATCATCCAGTCACTTACTCACCCGCTCACTCATCCACCTACTCACTCACCCACCTACTCACTCACCCACTCACTCACCCACCTACTCACTCACCCACCTACTCACTCACCCACTCAATTATCCAGTCACTCACTCACCCACCTACTCACTCACCCACTCAATCATCTAGTCACTCACTCACCCACCTACTCACTCACCCACCTACTCACTCACCCACTCACCCACCTACTCACTCACCCACATACTCACTCACCCACCTACTCACTTACCCACTCAATCATCCAGTCACTCACTCACCCACCTACTCACTCACCCACCTACTCACTCACCCACTCAATCATCCAGTCACTTACTCACCCGCTCACTCATCCACCTACTCACTCACCCACTCAATTATCCAGTCACTCACTCACCCACTCAATCATCCAGTCACTTACTCACCCGCTCAGTCATGCACCTACTCACTCACCCACTCAATCATCCAGTCACTTACTCACCCGCTCACTCATCCACCTACTCACTCACCCACCTACTCACTCACCCACTCAATCATCCAGTCACTTACTCACCCGCTCAGTCATGCACCTACTCACTCACCCACTCAATTATCCAGTCACTCACTCACCCACTCAATCATCCAGTCACTTACTCACCCGCTCAGTCATGCACCTACTCACTCACCCACTCAATTATCCAGTCACTCACTCACCCACCTACTCACTCACCCACTCAATCATCCAGTCGCTTACTCACCCGCTCAGTCATGCACCTACTCACTCACCCACTCAATTATCCAGTCACTCACTCACCCGCTCAGTCATGCACCTACTCACTCACCCACTCAATTATCCAGTCACTCACTCACCCACTCAATCATCCAGTCACTTACTCACCCGCTCAGTCATGCACCTACTCACTCACCCACTCAATCATCCAGTCACTTACTCACCCGCTCACTCATCCACCTACTCACTCACCCACCTACTCACTCACCCACTCAATCATCCAGTCACTTACTCACCCGCTCAGTCATGCACCTACTCACTCACCCACTCAATTATCCAGTCACTCACTCACCCACTCAATCATCCAGTCACTTACTCACCCGCTCAGTCATGCACCTACTCACTCACCCACTCAATTATCCAGTCACTCACTCACCCACCTACTCACTCACCCACTCAATCATCCAGTCGCTTACTCACCCGCTCAGTCATGCACCTACTCACTCACCCACTCAATTATCCAGTCACTCACTCACCCGCTCAGTCATGCACCTACTCACTCACCCACTCAATTATCCAGTCACTCACTCACCCACCTACTCACCCACCCACTCAATCATCCAGTCACTTACTCACCCGCTCAGTCATGCACCTACTCACTCACCCACTCAATCATCCAGTCACTTACTCACCCGCTCACTCATGCACCTACTCACTCACCCACTCAATTATCCAGTCACTCACTCACCCACCTACTCACTCACCCACTCAATCATCAAGTCACTTACTCACCCGCTCACTCATGCACCTACTCACTCACCCACTCAATTATCCAGTCACTCACTCACCCACCTACTCACTCACCCACTCAATCATCCAGTCACTTACTCACCCGCTCACTCATGCACCTACTCACTCACCCACTCAATTATTCTGTCACTCACTCACCCACCTACTCACTCACCCACTCAATCATCCAGTCACTCACTCACCCACCTACTCACTCACCCACCTACTCACTCACCCACTCACCCACCTACTCACTCACCCACCTACTCACTCACCCACCTACTCACTCACCCACTCAATCATCCAGTCACTCACTCACCTACTCACTCACCCACTCACTCACCCACCTACTCACTCACCCACTCAATCATGCAGTCACTCACTCACCCACCTACTCACTCACCTACTCACTCACCCACCTGCTCACTCACCCACCTACTCCCTCACCCACTCAATCATCCAGTCACTCACTCACCCACCTACTCACTCACCCACTCACTCACCCATCTACTCACTCACCCACCTACTCAATCACTCACCCACTCAATCATCCAGTCACTCACTCACCCACCTACTCACTCACCCAACTACTCACTCACCCACTCAATCATCCAGTCACTCACTCACCCACATACTCACTCACCCACATACTCACCCATTCACTCATGCACTCACTCACCCACCTACTCACTCACCCATTCACTCAATGAAGCCATCCACCCACCCACTCACCCACGCAGTCAGCCAGCGCCTATTGTCGCCTGTACGGCGCACGATGGACGACCGACCATGTCCTTGACGACGACGATGCTGACGACGACGACCGTGCTGATGACGACGATGCTCATGATGTGCGTCGTCTCCGCATCCCTCAGGCTAAAGGAGGTGACCTCACAGAGGGACACTGCGCTGACACAGCTGGACAGCGTGACGGGAGAGGTAGGGCTATAGACACGAGCGCTGTCAGACAACGCCGCTCTCGTCGTCGCTCCTGTCTCAGTAAAACATTCCGGCTCCGGCGTCCCCCACGCTCCGTCTCTTCAGGCTACACCCACCGAGGCCCTTCGCCTTCAGGAGGCCTCGCTCGGGGAGCGGCTCGCCCAGGCCGGGGCCTCCCTCGCCCGGGCCGCCCGCGGCACGGAGCCCGAGGCCCTGCGGGGAGAGCTGGGCCAGCCGGGAGGATCGGTCGAGCGGGAGCGGGCCGAGCCGGCGGGCCTGCGCAGCCGCCTGGAGGAGGCCGAGGCCGGCGCCGCGCGGGTCCGGGCCGAGGAGTTCGAACGGCGGGAGGCCCCGGGGGGGCGGCTGGACGAGCTCCGGGCCTGCCTGGACGAGGAGAGGGCGGCGAGGAAGGCGGCGGAGGCGGCGGCGGCGCGGGCCGAGAGCAGGGCCTCGCGCGGCCAGGCGGCCCGCGGCAGGGAGGCCACCGCCTGGAAGGCGAGGCTGGGCGAGCTGGAGGCTTCGCTGGGCCTGGAGAGAACGGCGGCCGAAAAGTCGAGGGAGGAGCTCGCCAAGGCCCAGGCCAGGGCCGGCCTCCTGCAGGCCGCTCACTCTGAGGAGCGACACAAGCTCAAGGCCCGGATAGGCCAACTCGAGGCTTCGCTCGGCCTGGAGAAAACGGCGGCCGAAAAGTCGAGGGAGGAGATCACCAAGGCCCAGGCCAGGGCCGACCTCCTGCAGGCCACTCACTCTGAGGAGCGACACAAGCTCAAGGCCCGGATAGGCCAACTCGAGGCTTCGCTGGGCCTGGAGAGAGCGGCGGCCGAAAAGTCGAGGGAGGAGATCACCAAGGCCCAGGACAGGGCCGACCTCCTGCAGGCCACTCACTCCGAGGAGCGGCACAAGCTCAAGGCCCGGATAGGCCAACTCGAGGCTTCACTCGGCCTGGAGAAAACGGCGGCCAAAAAGTTGAGGGAGGAGATCACCAAGGCCCAGGACAGGGCCGACCTCCTGCAGGCCGCTCACTCTGAGGAGCGGCACAAGCTCAAGGCCCGGATAGGCCAGCTCGAGGCTTCGCTGGGCCTGGAGAAAATGGCGGCCGAAAAGTCGAGGGAGGAGATCACCAAGGCCCAGGACAGGGCCGACCTCCTGCAGGCCGCTCACTCCGAGGAGCAATACAAGCTGAAGGCCCGGATAGGCCAACTCGAGGCTTCGCTGGGCCTGGAGAGAACGGCGGCCGAAAAGTCGAGGGAGGAGCTCGCCAAGGCCCAGGCCAGGGCCAACCTCCTGCAGGCCGCTCACTCCGAGGAGCAATACAAGCTCAAGGCCCGGATCGGCCAGCTCGAGGCTTCGCTGGGCCTGGAGAGAACGGCGGCCGAAAAGTCGCGGGGGAGACTCGCGGCCGCCGAATCCGGGACGGCGGATTTGCGGGCGCGGCTGGGCGACTTGGAGGCCTCGTTAGGCCTGGAGCAAACAGCGGCCCAGCAGCTGCGAGAGCGGCTCGCGGGGGCCCGGGCGGAGGGGGCCTCGCGCGACCCGCGCGGCCCAGGAGCTGCGGGCCGCACGGCAGGAGCTGGCGCTCGAGCGAGAGGAGTCGCGCCGTCTGCGAGCCTCGCTGGCGCGGCAGCAGGAGGAGGGGGCGGCCGAGGAGGCCCGGCAGGCTGCCGCAGAGGCCCGGTCGCTGGCGCCGCGCCTGGCCGAGGCGGAGGCCTCCCTACGGCGGGAGAGGGAGAGCGGCGAGGGCCTCCGGGCGGCGCTGGGATGCGCGGAGGACGAGGTGAGGCTATGTTAAAGGGGTGCCTTTGCGGATGTGTATGCTTTAACTTTAACATAGCCATTTCTGTGACCAGTCACAAGCTAATCACTCAGCCATTGCAATGCTAAATTCTATGCTAATTCCTTTGTCAAGGGGTGCCTCTGTGGATGTGTATGCTTTAACTTTAACATAGCCATTTCTGTGACCAGTCACAAGCTAATCACTCAGCCATTTCAATGCTAAATTATATGCTAATTCCTTTGTCAAGGCGCTTTGTTTCTTCTCACACAGCTTAAAGGTCGTGATCTCAGCGTGGCTTTCTCACTCCAGCGCTGTCCTCCAGACAGTCTCGTCCCTTCACCTGATGAAGGCCGCTTGTGTTGTGGCCGAAACGTCGTCAGAATATTATTGTGTTATTTTATTTTATCAATTTATTATTTTATTCTCATTCTACGTGACTTTACCGAAAGAACCAACGAAGATGAATCCTTGCAGTCACGAAAGCTTTAAATCGAAATCATTCTCCCGTTCATTTTTGCCGAGTCAGGCAGTAGCTTGCCCACCGGGCCACCCGCCCGCTCCGTTATTGTCCACCTCCCCGCGTGTGTCATTATTGTTTCGATTTAAAGCTTTCGTGACTGCAAGGATTCATCTTCTTTGGTTCTTTCGGTAAAGTCGCCGCCACGTAGAATGACAATAAAACAATAAATTGATAAAATAAAATAACGCGGTAAAATTCTCACGACGTTTCGGCCACAACGCAAGCGGCCTTCATCAGGTGAAGGGACGAGACTGCCTGGAGGACAGCGCAGGGCCGCGCTCCAGCACTGTCCTCCAGACAGTCTCGTCCCTTCACCTGATGAAGGCCGCTTGTGTTGTGGCCGAAACGTCGTGAGAATTTCATTAACTTATTCTTTTATTCTCATCCTACGTGGCGACTTTACCGAAAGAACCAAAGAAGATCATCGTTGTTGTTGATGTTGTTGTTGATGTTGTTGTTGTTGTCGTTGTTGTTGTTGATGTCGTTGTTGTTGTTGTTGATGTCGTTGTTGTTGTTGTTGATGTCGTTGTTGTTGATGTCGTTGTTGTTGATGTCGTTGTTGTTGTTGATGTCGTTGTTGTTGTCGTTGTTGTTGTCGTTGTTGTTGTTGATGTCGTTGTTGTTGATGTCGTTGTTGTTGTTGATGTCGTTGTTGTTGATGTCGTTGTTGTTGATGTCGTTGTTGTTGTTGTCGTTGTTGTTGTCGTTGTTGATGTCGTTGTTGTTGTTGTTGTCGTTGTTGTTGATGTCGTTGTTGTTGTTGATGTCATTGTTGTTGTTGTTGTTTTCGTTGTTGTCGTTGTTGTTGATGTCGTTGTTGTTGATGTCGTTGTTGTTGTTGTTGATGTCGTTGTTGTTGTTGATGTTGTCGTGCGCGTGTCTCGGTCCAGGTCCTGCGGCTGCAGGAGACGGTGCGGCGAGAGTGTGAGGAGCGCTTCCTCCTCACCGAGGCGCTGCACCACGCGCAGGGGCGGCGCGACCGGGCCACTCGCGACCCCTCACCGTGAAACACGCAGAGGGCCGCTGCTGGGCCACCGCTGGGCCACCGCTGGGCCACCGCTGGGCCACACGTCTTGACCACCGCGAGGCCACCGCTGGGCCACGTCTTGACCACTACTGGAGCTCCGCTGGGCCACCGCTGGGACACGTCTTGACCACCGCTGGGCCACCGCTGGGCCACACGTCTTGACCACCGCTGGGCCACCGCTGGGACACTGCTGGGCCATCTCTTGACCACCGCTGGGCCACACGTCTCGACCACCGCTGGGCCACCGCTGGGCCACACGTCTTGACCACCGCGAGGCCACCGCTATGCCACTGCTGGGCCATCTCTTGACCACTACTGGAGCTCTGCTAGGCCACCGCTGGGCCACGTCTTGACCACCGCTGGGCCACTGCTGGGCCATCTCTTGACCACCGCTGGGCCACTGCTGGGCCATCTCTTGACCACCGCTGGGCCACTGCTGGGCCATCTCTAAGCTACTGCTGGTTCACCGAAGGGCCGTTTAATCGGCCCCCAGATGAGAACTCAAGTAAACCCGTAGACTCGTAGAGATACACAGAGACCCATAGAGATATGGGTCTCTGTGGGTCTCTGTGTGAGTCGGTATGTGTCTGTGTATCAGTGTGAATGTGTGGGTCCCTGTGTGAGTCTGTGGGTCTCTGTGGGTCTCTGTGTGAGTCGGTATGTCTCTGTGTGAGTCGGTATGTGTCTGGGCGAGTCTGTGGGTCTCTGTGCGAGTCTGTGGGTCTCTGTGCGAGTCTGTATGTATCTGTGTATCAGTGTGAATGTGTGGGTCTCTGTGCGAGTCTGTGGGTTTCTGTGCGAGTCTGTGGGTATTTGTATGAGTCTGTGGGTCTCTCTGTGAGTTGGTATGTATCTGGGCGAGTCTGTGGGTCTCTGTGCGAGTCTGCATGTATCTGTGTATCAGTGTGAGTCTACAGGTCTCTGTGTGAGACTGCCCCAACAGTCTGTTAAGGCCACACGGGGGATCTCCGTCTTAGGCAGCGGTGGTCTCGAGGCATAGAAGACGAAACACTGGGTTGATTTAGACAGGTACTGTGTTTGATTTAAAGAGGCACGGGCGCAGCCCTGCAAGTGCTGGCTCACGGACGATGCCACCGGCCTTAATCAAGTCAACGGGACGTAGATGTGATCAGTCTGTACAGCAGGAGGGTTGTGGTGTGATGAGGAGGGTGGTGGCACCTGACGAATGCGATGGTGCGTGAAATAAACGATGGTGAGGGTGACGGTGAGTGGTCAGTGATCGGTGAGCGCCGAGATGTTCACTGCAGTGCCTGGGCATGGATCCCATAGAAGGTCTATGGGCTCATGTTAAGAGATAGGGAACCGGTTCCTATGGAAGGTCTATGGGCCCATGTTAAGAGATAGGGAACCGGTTCCCATAGAAAGTCTATGGGCCCATGTTAAGAGATGGGGACCCGGTTCCCATAGAAAGCGTATGGTCCCATGTTAAGAGATGGGGAACCGGTTCCCATAGAAAGCGTATGGTCCCATGTTAAGAGATAGGGAACCGGTTCCCATATAAGGTCTATGGGCCCATGTTAAGAGATAGGGAACCGGTTCCCATAGAAAATCTATGGCCCCATGTTAAGAGATGGGGAATCGGTTCCCATAGAGGCCTATGGTCCCATGTTAAGAGATAGGGCACCGGTTCCCATATAAGGTCTATGGGCCCATGTTAAGAGATAGGGAACCGGTTTCCATAGAAAGTCTATGGCCCCCATGTTAAGAGATAGGGAACCGGTTCCCATAGAAAGTCTATGGCCCCATGTTAAGAGATAGGGAAACCGGTTCCCATAGAAAGTCTATGGCCCCATGTTAAGAGATAGGGAACCGGTTCCCATAGAAAGTCTATGGCCCCATGTTAAGAGATAGGGAACCGGTTCCCATAGAAGGTCTATGGCCCCATGTTAAGAGATAGGGAACCGGTTCCTATGGAAGGTCTATGGGCCCATGTTAAGAGATAGGGAACCGGTTTCCATAGAAAGTCTATGGCCCCCATGTTAAGAGATAGGGAACCGGTTCCCATAGAAAGTCTATGGCCCCATGTTAAGAGATAGGGAACCGATTCCTGTAGAAGGTATATGGTCCCATGTTAAGAGATAGGGAACCGGTTCCCATAGAAGGTCTATGGCCCCATGTTAAGAGATAGGGAAACCGGTTCCCATAGAAGGTCTATGGCCCCATGTTAAGAGATAGGGAACCGGTTCCCATAGAAGGTCTATGGCCCCATGTTAAGAGATAGGGAACCGATTCCTGTAGAAGGTATATGGTCCCATGTTAAGAGATAGGGAACCGGTTCCCATAGAAGGTCTATGGCCCCATGTTAAGAGATAGGGAACCGGTTCCCATAGAAGGTCTATGGCCCCATGTTAAGAGATAGGGAACCGGTTCCCATAGAAGGTCTATGGCCCCATGTTAAGAGATAGGGAACCGGTTCTTGTAGACGGTATATGGTCCCATGTTAAGAGATAGGGAACCGGTTCCCATAGAAGGTCTATGGCCCCATGTTAAGAGATAGGGAACCGGTTCCCATAGAAGGTCTATGGCCCCATGTTAAGAGATCGGGAACCGGTTCCTATGGAAGGTCTATGGGCCCATGTTAAGAGATAGGGAACCGGTTTCCATAGAAAGTCTATGGCCCCCATGTTAAGAGATAGGGAACCGGTTCCCATAGAAAGTCTATGGCCCCATGTTAAGAGATAGGGAACCGATTCCTGTAGAAGGTATATGGTCCCATGTTAAGAGATAGGGAACCGGTTCCCATAGAAGGTCTATGGCCCCATGTTAAGAGATAGGGAACCGATTCCTGTAGAAGGTATATGGTCCCATGTTAAGAGATAGGGAACCGGTTCCCATAGAAGGTCTATGGCCCCATGTTAAGAGATAGGGAAACCGGTTCCCATAGAAGGTCTATGGCCCCATGTTAAGAGATAGGGAACCGGTTCCCATAGAAGGTCTATGGCCCCATGTTAAGAGATAGGGAACCGATTCCTGTAGAAGGTATATGGTCCCATGTTAAGAGATAGGGAACCGGTTCCCATAGAAGGTCTATGGCCCCATGTTAAGAGATAGGGAACCGGTTCCCATAGAAGGTCTATGGCCCCATGTTAAGAGATAGGGAACCGGTTCCCATAGAAGGTCTATGCCCCCATGTTAAGAGATAGGGAACCGGTTCTTGTAGAAGGTATATGGTCCCATGTTAAGAGATAGGGAACCGGTTCCCATAGAAGGTCTATGGCCCCATGTTAAGAGATAGGGAACCGGTTCCTATGGAAGGTCTATGGGCCCATGTTAAGAGATAGGGAACCGGTTTCCATAGAAAGTCTATGGCCCCCATGTTAAGAGATAGGGAACCGGTTCCCATAGAAAGTCTATGGCCCCATGTTAAGAGATAGGGAACCGATTCCTGTAGAAGGTATATGGTCCCATGTTAAGAGATAGGGAACCGGTTCCCATAGAAGGTCTATGGCCCCATGTTAAGAGATAGGGAAACCGGTTCCCATAGAAGGTCTATGGCCCCATGTTAAGAGATAGGGAACCGGTTCCCATAGAAGGTCTATGGCCCCATGTTAAGAGATAGGGAACCGGTTCCCATAGAAGGTCTATGGCCCCATGTTAAGAGATAGGGAACCGATTCCTGAAGGTATATGGTCCCATGTTAAGAGATAGGGAACCGGTTCCCATAGAAGGTCTATGGCCCCATGTTAAGAGATAGGGAACCGGTTCTTGTAGAAGGTATATGGTCCCATGTTAAGAGATAGGGAACCGGTTCCCATAGAAGGTCTATGGCCCCATGATAAGAGATAGGGAACCGGTTCCTATGGAAGGTCTATGGGCCCATGTTAAGAGATAGGGAACCGGTTTCCATAGAAAGTCTGTGGCCCCCATGTTAAGAGATAGGGAACCGGTTTCCAAAGAAAGTCTATGGCCCCCATGTTAAGAGATAGGGAACCGGTTTCCATAGAAGGTATATGGCCCCATGTTAAGAGATAGGGAAACCGGTTCCCATAGAAGGTCTATGGCCCCATGTTAAGAGATAGGGAACCGGTTCCCATAGAAGGTCTATGGCCCCATGTTAAGAGATAGGGAACCGATTCCTGTAGAAGGTATATGGTCCCATGTTAAGAGATAGGGAACCGGTTCCCATAGAAGGTCTATGGCCCCATGTTAAGAGATAGGGAACCGGTTCCCATAGAAGGTCTATGGCCCCATGTTAAGAGATAGGGAACCGGTTCCCATAGAAGGTCTATGCCCCCATGTTAAGAGATAGGGAACCGGTTCTTGTAGAAGGTATATGGTCCCATGTTAAGAGATAGGGAAACCGGTTCCCATAGAAGGTCTATGGCCCCATGTTAAGAGATAGGGAACCGGTTCCTATGGAAGGTCTATGGGCCCATGTTAAGAGATAGGGAACCGGTTTCCATAGAAAGTCTATGGCCCCCATGTTAAGAGATAGGGAACCGGTTCCCATAGAAAGTCTATGGCCCCATGTTAAGAGATAGGGAACCGATTCCTGTAGAAGGTATATGGTCCCATGTTAAGAGATAGGGAACCGGTTCCCATAGAAGGTCTATGGCCCCATGTTAAGAGATAGGGAAACCGGTTCCCATAGAAGGTCTATGGCCCCATGTTAAGAGATAGGGAACCGGTTCCCATAGAAGGTCTATGGCCCCATGTTAAGAGATAGGGAACCGGTTCCCATAGAAGGTCTATGGCCCCATGTTAAGAGATAGGGAACCGATTCCTGAAGGTATATGGTCCCATGTTAAGAGATAGGGAACCGGTTCCCATAGAAGGTCTATGGCCCCATGTTAAGAGATAGGGAACCGGTTCTTGTAGAAGGTATATGGTCCCATGTTAAGAGATAGGGAACCGGTTCCCATAGAAGGTCTATGGCCCCATGATAAGAGATAGGGAACCGGTTCCTATGGAAGGTCTATGGGCCCATGTTAAGAGATAGGGAACCGGTTTCCATAGAAAGTCTGTGGCCCCCATGTTAAGAGATAGGGAACCGGTTTCCAAAGAAAGTCTATGGCCCCCATGTTAAGAGATAGGGAACCGGTTCCCATAGAAAGTCTATGGCCCCATGTTAAGAGATGGGGAACCGGTTCCCATAGAAGGTCTATGGCCCCATGTTAAGAGATAGGGAACCGGTTTCCATAGAAAGTCTATGGCCCCCATGTTAAGAGATAGGGAACCGGTTCCCATAGAAGGTCTATGGCCCCATGTTAAGAGATAGGGAACCGGTTCCCATAGAAAGTCTGTGGCCCCTATGTTAAGACATAGGGAACCGGTTCCCATAGAAAGTCTATGTCCCCATGTTAAGAGATAGGGAACCGGTTTCCATAGAAAGTCTATGGCCCCATGTTAAGAGATAGGGAACCGGTTCCCATAGAAGGTCCTATGGCCTTTTGGCGTCCTCTGGCTCAGAGGCTCAAAAGAAAGCTGTCTGGTGTGGACCAATCAGCTTCGAGGACAATGCATCATATTATCAGAGTATTTTTTTTGCATTCTGACCGCAAGTATTGTGGTTAATGCAGTTTCATGATTCCTTGTAAAAGGTTTCAATTTGGTGTTTTAACATCTTAACGCAGCTGCTTTGTTGCCAGAAAAA